CGGCATTCGTATAGCTCCTTTCTCTCGTTGACTATAGCATATTGTATACGAACAATTGCATTTTCATTCATTTGAAATATGTAATATCCTGTTAATGATTATCATCGGACTTAGCCAAAATACATGGAAAATATTAACATTTCCATGTTAGGGTTAATAAATGATATGCTTATCAAAGGTTTAGAAATAAAAAGTTTTGAAACGTTATATTATATACTGAATAAAGTTAATCGGCGAGAAGAACGGAGTTTCCTAAATCGGCGTACGGAATTAAACAATTGTTAAAAAGCGCCGTTATGTTTATATTGATATATTTTCTTTAAGGCAAAGCGTGCTATGTCGAATAAAATTAGACGAAAAAGAGTTTTAGATTATGTTGTGTCTATATGTATATACGCGCGTCTTTCTAGACCCTCGTCAGTCGCCAAGTTACGCGAAAAACATATTCAGCGAGGAGGTTGTCGTCGCTCCAAATACAAACGCCGCACGGACTGACGCGGTTGCCATGGAAATCAGAATGCCTGGCTGCAATAACGCGCTCTGATTGGTCAGTGCGGTTCTTATAGAAAGTCAAAATCACGTGGGCACCTGGCGCACACCTCCCCCCCGCACCAGCGTATCAGCACTATCAGCTGTTCAGTAATCTCCTTGCCCAACGTGCTCCCCGGATAAATTTGCGATTTTTCGAGAGTCTAGAAAGACTCATGTAGATCTATATTTCTGTATTTTCGTTACTGTCTATTAGTATGGTTCTCGAAAGATATGCTTTGTAACCTACTGTCCGAGTATGTGCTCCGACGACTTTTCAATTGCTCGTAAGATATTCGACGTGTATACACAGTGCGCACGGTGTTCAGTCCATACTCTCCACAGTGGTGCTCCAGTTATTTAGACTTCCGGGATAAGCTGTCATCAGATATCATCGAATTAAATATCGTCGAAATTGACATAAGTTTCAATGGCTCAGCAGCTGGCAAATTGCGTCTTCTGTAAAATTATTAGGGACGAGGAACCTGGTGAGAAAATTTACGAGGTATGGCAGTTAACCTCAAACGAATTTTTTGACAGCTAGATAAAGTACACACATATATACATACAAATTTTTAATTTAGATTAGCGAGCAAATGTTTCTAACATGCACAATATGTTTTTGCCGTCAGGATGAAGACCTTACGTGTATTAAAGATATTAATCCAGTATCCACGCATCATTATTTGATATTACCGAAAAAACATATACGTAACGCGAAAACACTTCAACCTGAAGACTCTGAACTTTGTAAGTATCCCAGGCTTATCTTTATTAACATATTTAAGTTGAATTTTATTAAATAATTGCATAATCTGCAATATTTTTTTATTACATCATCGAGTAGTAAAATGTTTATTAAATTATTTTATACATACCTTTGAAAATATATCTGAAAGATTGTCTTCTTTGTTTCTGTTAAAATTTTATGCATTCTAGTCTAACAATTGATTATTGATATTTCTATTATTCCCTGATTATATCTGAATACTTTCAGATGACAAGATCGTTGCTGCAGTAGACATTATCTCCAAGAAGATGAATCTTGATCCTGGGTCTACGCGAACAGGGTTTCATTGGCCGCCCTTTAATACCGTCGATCATTTACATTTACACGTTATTTCGCCAATAGAGAAAATGAACGCTGTGAGAAAGATGATGTTCAATCCCAATATGTTTTGGTTTGTGAGCGTAAGTATAGAGATTGTAGAACTTATTCGGTAAATACTGTAAGAGATAAATCTGCATTATACATATTATTATTCTTTTTTTTACAGACAGACTATGTGAAATCTCGCCTGGAAAACTGTAAACTGTAGGCCATTATTGTGATTTTATTTGTTAATCGTCTTCCTGGCAGCGCGATAAAAATCTTGTACAATATGTCAGCATTTGATGCGATTACGGGCTTAAGAACATTTATTACAAGATACGACAAAGAATTATATGTTTATTGAAAATTAAGTGAGATCGCATTACAATTTTATTTTTATATTAAATGTATATAAGCGTGCATATATCTCATTTGTTGTAATATCTGTTCTGGTATTTATTATATATCTGTTGTATCTTTAAAATATGTATATGCAGTTTTACGTAGATTGTTTTTATAAAAGAATTATAAATACAGTTGAATCTTTGAAAAAAAAAAATTTCTAATCATCTCTTTCCTCAGTTTCTTTTTCTTTAGCAATCTTGTTTTTCCAATAATTGCCATCTGGATAGGCGTACTCTGAGATGGTCTCTTCTTTAAGTTTAGTCGAGTATCCAGGACGCTCGGGCGGCATGTAATGCGCATTCCTAATGCGAACGGGATCCTCGAAGTGCTCGTGCTGCTGGTCCACGTATTCTATCATACGATTTTCAGTGGTCTGACTTAAGCAAACGTAGTCCCACATTTGGAGGTGCTGAACCATCTCGCACAAACCTACTCCACCGGCATGCGGACAAACTGGTACTGTAAATAAAAAAAAATTTTCCATTTCGCATTTTGTTTTCTTTTAAATAGAAATTGATTATTGATTCGTCATTCTGTTGTTTGAAAATGGAAAGATCAAGTCTATAGATTTAAATTATCGATGGTAAACTTATTACTTTTAGTTATGTATGCCATTAAGTACACAGCCAGGAGCTCGTTAATCCCGCCGATCCTCGCCGAATCGACCTGGCAATAGTTGATCGCGTGGTGTTTCAGGAACTGCTTGAACATAACGCGATTCGCGCACATCTCGCCGGTGGCCACTCCGATATTGTACGGCTTTAATTCTTTGAGAATCTGAGCGTGTCCGAAGACATCGTCGGGTGACGTCGGTTCCTCTATCCAGATGGGTTTAAACTTCCTCAGCTCCTTCATCCACTCGATCGCCTCGTTCACGTCCCACACCTGGTTCGCGTCCATCATCAATTTGTTCTCATCGCCTATCGCCTCGCGTATAATCTCGCACCTTTTAATGTCGTTCTGCAGATCCTGGCCCACTTTGATCTTGAACGCCGTGTAACCGGAGTCCAGAAAGCTCTTGCAAAGATCCTTGAGCTTGTCATCGCTGTAGCCCAGCCATCCGACTTGAGTGGTGTACGCGGGATATCCGTTCTTTTGCAGCTTATTTTTTTGTTCTTGCCTAAGTTTCATTTTTTCCTCAAGTATTTTTATCGCGATCTTCTCGTCCACTATGTCTTTACTGCATATAGAAATGCGTACACAGAATTGTGTCATGAGCGAGAATTTAACTCTGCACTTTGGTTTACAAAAAATTTCGGCTTACACGTATCTGAAGTCTATGACGGAAACGAGTTCCTCGGGTGACATGTCCGAAAGAAGCATCCAGACAGGTTTTTCCTCGACACGCGCCCACAAGTCCCACAATGCGTTTACAATAGCTGCTGTAGCTAGGTGTATCACACCTTTCTCCGGTCCGACCTAAAACATCGAAATTATATCCCGGTAATCGTCATATTTTAATTATTATGTCACTCTTCGTTATACGTTACCCATCGCAGTTGCGAGTCGCTCGTTAAACGTCTCCAAAAATTAGCAAAATCCTTGTAAATCCATTTTAGTTTCCGATTCAACACGATCTTGGCTAGAGCGTTACATGCTTGTACAACTACAAAAATTATTATTATTATTGGTATAGCGCGTATGTAACTGAGAAGTATCAATAATATATATTAATATATAAAATACCGATTTCAGTTCCTCTTCCCAAGGTAAACGTAAGACCATATCCTTCACATCCTTTTTTGTTTGTTTTAATTGTTACATACACGCAAGAGTAATCAGGATCGGTATGCTGTTATTATAAATGAAGATCAAATATAATCTTGAGAGTATACATATGTTAAACATGTAAATGAGCTTGACTAACATCATTTAAGAAAATTAATAATAATTAGTTTAACGTGCAATCTATAAAATGTTACCTTAATTAATATTTATTTACTATTAGATTCATTAATTGCTATTAATATTTATCTTAATAATTTATTATATTAACAAATTAGGTAATTTACATGTTATAAATGCATATGCTGATTTGCCAGAATGACATGCTCGCTAGCAGCGAGCATGTCTTTATGCAAATTATTTAATAAAGTGTACCATTGCATCGCTTCCATCACGATTTAACGATGTCGGAAACCTTATATCCTTCACATCGATAGTAGTAATTTTGGCCTTCATTCTTTTTTCCTTCTCAGCGGCGATACGTCTGGCTTCCATTTTCCTAAATTGCACCGAACACTTCTAAAACGACAATGACAACGAGAAACTGACTGGACGATATTCTTGAAGCGTTACGTCTCAAATATGTAAACATATTGCTTGCTTCTTATCGTCTTACGTAAATATTTGTGTCGCAAGTTTATCGCGTCGCGCGATATCAACAATATCTGCCTGAAGATAATTATGAAAATTATTTTCACAGAAAGATCTGTCCTGTACGTTGTTCCAAATATATAATATTAAATACGGACGTTAATTAATTTATTTAAACGTTAACGTGTAATATAATTTTCAAATGTTTCTCAACGAAAATATCTCGAAAGAGGCTATTATATTTTTCATCGCTCTTTCCAACGTTACATTTTGCCCAGTTCAGAGATTTTATTCGAAGCTAGTCTGACAACATCTGCCAGCTCAATTTAGGCAAGGAAAAAATAATAAGTACATAAATATGTGCTAGACTCGGCTAAACTAAAATTGCACCTTCTCTCTATTTGAATCTCCTGCAAAATGTCGTTTAAAAGGCGAAATATCTTTCTCTTATCCTGATTTTATAACGTCATTATAATCTAATCTACGAATTAAAATATAATTACTTAAAATTTAAAATAACAGTTGGAAAAAATAAAAGCAAACGCGGGAGTAAAAAACAAATTTGCACGTCTTATTTTCATATTATTATTATTATCATACCATATTTTTTACGTTCTGTTTTATTATGTAATACCATATTATTATATTTTCGAGGGAGATGCAATCGGCGGGAATTTTATTTGATTAACGTGACGTGACTGTTGTTTAACAAATTATCTTTTCCCGTGCAACGCGGCTTTTACTCGTGCCGGTGATTATCAGACTCGAACCGATTAGAAAAAGAAATAGAACGCGGCAAAGCTTCGAACTCTTCGAAGCGGCGACAGCGGCGTCTGCGTCTGCTGCAATGGAATCGGAGCGGAGTAATGGAGTCTCGTCCGCGCACGTGTGGGTGCGCTCGTTCTATTGATGCGGTGCAAGTGAAACGCTGAAAGAAGATGCACTCAGACGCACAGAGATTGTCGAATCCGTTCGAAATCATAGTAGGGACGTACGAGCAATATTTACTTGGCTACAAAGTGCACAACATCGTAAATGTGAGTATATTTCGACACGTGCCTCGTGTACAGGTTAGGTTTTTATACGGTATGGGTGAAGCGTGACACAAAAGTCGAGATATGTCAAAGAAGGATGCTTCTACTAGTCATATTTACGCGTTTGTTCCTTCATATCATTTATATATTTGTTGCTCTGGAAGATTCAATGATTATTCGATAGATAGAAGAAAAGGCGTATCTTCAATCAAAGTTCAAACGAGAAACTTTTACATTAATTCTTTAAATATGAATATTTTAGATTAAGAATTCATTTTCTTTTTCTTTCTGTCCATAGGAATACAAAATAGAGAAAAGCTTTGCGACCCACAGCCATGTCGCAAGCATACGCACTGTCGCCAGTAGTAAATATCATCTAGCGTCAGCTGGCGCAGATGAAACGGTATGTCTGTACGACATGCGTTACAGACGGGAGTCCGGCAAATTAATGCATCACAAAGGTACACAGATTGAGCGCACTCTATTCGTACATATAACTCAATGTAATTATATAAATTTCTATTTAAAAAGTAACAAATCTTCGTATTTCCTTTGCAGATACCGTCAATTGCCTCGCTTTTACTCCAGAAGGCTCCCATCTGTTCGCATGTAGCAACGACGGTAGCATAACCGCCGTACATTGCGGCAATTGGCAGCTGGAGAAGATCTGGCCGACCGCGCACAAAGGCACCGCCGTCAACACTCTGGCCATTCATCCGACCGGAAAGCTAGCGCTGTCCTCCGGGGAGGACGGCGTGCTTAGGACGTGGAATCTGATCAAGGGCAGGCAGGCTTACGCCACTAACTTGGTACCGAGACTGAAGTCTAACGCCAAATGGATAACCGTTATCAAATGGAGTCCGAGCGGTGAAAAGTATCTGTTGGCTGTCAACGAAAGTATCTACATTTATTCTGTAGAATCGGCCGGGATAGATAGGGAGCTCACGTTTGACTCGAAGGTCATTTGCGTCGAGTTCCTGAAGGACGATTTAATCGCGGTCGGTTTCGAGAACGGGGACATAAGATTTTGTGACCTTAAAACCTCCCTGCATACGATGAACACGAAGGCGCACAGCATGAGAGTGAAATGTATCGCGCATATGAACGATCTGTTGGTCAGCGCCTCCAGCTCCGGAGAGATCAAGCTTTGGCGATATAATAAACACAGTTTGGATATGTTGCAAACCGTTAATTGCGGCGCTAGAATTACTTGCCTCTCTTTGGCACACACCTACAAAGATTTAGTGCGGAAAGAAGTTGAATCGAAGGAAAAAGAGGAAACGAAAAAGGAGAACAGGCTCAGACTGAAGCAGGAAGTTATTATTGAGAACGAAGAGGATTTAGAAGTCGCAAGTATTAGAAATTCTAAAGAAAAAGCACAAGAAAAGAAAAATGAAAAGAAGAGAGCTATAGAAGATACTGAAGACAGTGTCCAGCATTCGAAAAAGAAAGCTCTAAAAGTAAAAAAGGCTATTATTTCAAAAAAGAAGAGAGACAGGTCGTCTGAGATGGAAGATATCGTCGACAAACCTAAAAAGAAGAGACTCTTAAAAGCGAATGAGACAAATCCTTCTAATAAAAAACGAAAAGAGAATAGTGCTGCATCACAGGTCACTTCGCCAGCGAAGAAGGTTAAAAAGTCGAATAAAGTTGAAGAGCCACCTTTCCCTCGCAAGAAACACAAAGTAAAATTACCAACGACGGATGTCGAAGATGCTCCACCTAGGAAGATAAAGAAAAAAGTAAATGCGGAAAAAGGAGTCGTGCCAAAAAAGAAAAAGAAGAAAATAATGGGATAAATTAGGATTCAATTGCGAGAGGAGTCTCTTTACAAAAGTTATTTTTTTTTTTTTCATCGTGTGATATTTACATGATAAGCTTAAGAGTAAGAATAGAGCGCCTAGGTGCTTAATAAATTACTCACTAGGTTCTTATAATTATAAATCAGTCTATTTACAATTTCTTAGATTTATCACTGCACCAACGCCTTCTTCTGTCACGAGAGATTAAACCTGAACGAGATAACAGTTTTTTAGGCGTCGTTACGTTTCATACCGCTCGAAATAATGCGAAGGATGTCTACCACAAGATGCACTTGTGCGACGGGTTCATTGGACTACCGAGCGGGCACTTCCAGGCCTTTGCGAACTCCGCGTTGTTCGACAGCGTGCCGATAACTCGAAAATGATTTGGCGCATGGACACCTTCTATCACTTTGGACTTCAATGCTCCGTTTGTATAATTGCCGCACCATACCTTAAAAAAGATCAGCGTTTACGACTCAATGTAAAAAAAGCTTTACACACAGAAAAGAGCTACGAAATTCTCATTTGCGAACTAGAGCTCTTTGCGATTTTAATTTATAGCTACGTAGATTTTTATTATAAATAATTTCTCGCTAGTTTGACAAGAGAAAAATCGCCATTTCAATGATTTTAAAATTCTATAAATCTCGCCCATACATGTACATAGTTTTTGTAACGTATTTAGGTAACAATATGTAAAACGATCTTTTTTCTCTTCATTTTTAATTGTATACAATGTAATATATTAAATGTATGATAAATATGCAGCATTAAGTTTTATTGCTATTTAAATATACTCACAATCAGTTTAGAGTACTATTAAATAAATTACTTTCTCAGGAGAAAAGAAGCTCTGATCGTATGATTCTTTTACCAGACGCAAAAATTTTAATATTTATTGGACAAAATTTAATTAATTTTTTCTTCTTTTTACCTGTGCAAAACCTAAGAAGAACAGTTGCTCGTTGCTGTAGTCGACAAGACCAGGGAGGGCTTGCTGGTACGGACTGCGTGTAATCAGCCTCTGATACGCTCTGTAAGCTTCCCTGATGCCGCCGTTGTCGGCAATATTTTCACCCTGGGTGTTGATACCGTTCACCTGAAAGTCAGAAGGTTAGTCGAATGGTTGAGCATACGAGCAAGAGATATGCCTTGGCACGCTTCTCTCTCTCCCTGTGTGCTTTCAATGAATAAAATGGACACGTTGCTACCGTGCGAGGCTCACCGTGAAATTATCACCCAACTCCGGCAAATGATAACTGCTGTACTGCTCGATTATACATTGCACTTTCTCGTGATAGTGTCGCAATGTCTCATCGCTCCACCACTGCCGTAGATTGCCGTTCTCGTCGTACCGGCGTCCTGACACAGAAAATCATGTAATTCCAGATATTATTGCGGATATGCGGGCAACGTAGTGCCAAAGAGATAAAGACGGACGAGTGGCCGTTTTAACGATATTACGTAACACACGTCGCATCGCCGATCACGCACCTTGGTCGTCGAAACCGTGGGTAAGTTCGTGGCCCATAATCGCCCCCATAGCACCGTAATTGATGGACCTGCAACGCGCAATGTTGGAGCTTAGCGATTTACGATAACGAGTCGCACGTAGAGATATCACTTTGTTTTTCGTGAGCTCATATCTTTGCGTCTTTAATTAAAATCTACAACACTTAAATAAGTAAATTGCGGCCGATACGTATGTATCAGAAAACAAATAAATTTTTGGCCATCAGGCAAGTCTTAATTACAATTTTTGTGCATTTTATTACATTTTAAAATCTACAAGTTTCTCAAAAATAGATTACGACTGCCATATCAGAATCTTATTGAGCAATGCACAGAATAATTAGGACTATTCGCTGCAAATAAAGAACTGATCAAGTAAAATATGAGTTCATGAAAATTTTGCCGTATCTATAAAACGTTCTTATACGTACTCCAATCCGTTGCCGTAAAACGGAGGATGCAGGATGCCGGCTGGAAAAGCTAAGATCACACATTTTTTTTACATTCTGAACGATTAAATTAAATTGGTATATTGTAAAGCGACAATGATGATTATGTCATATTGGAAATTTATTTTGGTTAATTAGAAAATTAGCATTAAAAAGAAAAGACACTTACTGACTGAGTTTAATATCGCGCTGTAAAACGCGTTCACTGTCGTGCCTGTCGATATCCATCTGCTCCTGTCGGGCTTCTCGCGCAAATTATTAAAGCTTTTTTTCATCGCCACGTCAGTTAGCTTCAGAAAGGTCGCGAACAGCTTCCCGTCGATCACCTCCACCTAAACAGACCGGACATTGCAGTTTCCGCAGCTGGATTGGAATGTAGATGTACTTCGTAATCATACGCCAACACGCGATATTTAGAGAGAACTCTCACCCCTTCGTAAAACTTGTCTAACTCTTCTGGATTCGTGACCCAGTCGGGAAATCCTACGAACGGCCTCATCGCCTGCAATTTTCTATGGGCTCGAGCTCTCGTGCCGGCATCCATCCAGTCCAGCTCCGTGACCATCTCGTCGAACGCCGCCCTGATATCCAGCAGCATCTCCAATGCCTATCGACAATGATAAACAGTGATCAATCACTTATAAGAATCGAGAATAAAGAGACTCGAGAATAAAGCTCGAATTTAGGATATCTCGTAGATTAGGGGTCGGCAAATCACATTTCCCGACCAGATAGTAAAGAGCGAGATATTAAATGTCAAACTTTGTAGGCCAAAAAGATATTACGTATATAGTTATTTAACAAGAGAGAAAATAAAAACTTCCACAAATTTGTTATCGACAAAATTAAAGTTAATAATAATAACAATATTGTTACTAATATAATAAAATGAAACAAATTATTAACGTAATAAAATAAATAATTTATTATTTATTTTAATTTATTATTTATTTTATTACTATATTACTAGATATGTATTTATTATTATAGGGAGAGGCTATGTTTAAGTCAGTTAAAGAAAAAGTCAAATAAAAAATTTCCAAGACATCTAAAAATCTTGAAAGAACCCTGGGGAGGGCAATTGAAACGTGTAAGAACATTGAATCGGTCTTAATAATAAAAATTAATAAATTAATGCAGAATATAACTGGAGCCCGTGATTCCAAAAGCCCCTCCCTACCCTATCATACTTTGACTGTAAAAAAAACAGATCCTGGGTCGCACAGTTTGCCGTAGAATATTTCAGGGCTACTAATCGCCGCACATACGATCGCGAACCTTTTCTCGTGCCTGTTCGTTGAAGTGCCTTTGTGCATAAATGTAGCTCAACGCCATGCCGAAATTCCCGTTGACGTTCCCGGTGCATCCCTTCCAGCGCGGCGTCTTCTCCTTCAGGCCGAAGATCTTCTGCGAGAACTGGAAGCCGAGATCGCGGAACTTCTGCAGCGTCAGAGGGGCAACGGTCGCGTACACGCTCCACCAGACGTATCGCACTGAAAAATCGGCTCGACGTTAACATGTTATTTATCGTCGCGCGTTGTTTATCGGCGCGTAATCGCCGTCGGCCGTTTCAAACGCGGCGAAACAATCGCGTACTTATTTCTACAGATACGGTGCAGCTTTCGATAGCTTCTGACCCCTTCTCATCATTCTTTTCCTTTCCCCCCGGGCGTAGAAACACCCGATATTATCCATCATGGATTATCGACACTTCCAAGCGTCTTCGTTGCTTCAACGATCTTTGGTATTTGGATTTTGGAACGATATTTGGAAGATATGCTTGTAATCGAGTCAGAGGAGAAACTTAAGGAAGCTTTGCGTATCGCAACGTGATTTACGCGAAAGCACCCCTGGTAGAGAAATGTCTTAAAATTTTTCATATTATTAATCAGAATTTCTATAAAAATTTTAAAACTTTCTCTAAAGAATTTTTCAGATTTTTCTCGCCAACATCTTAGAATAAATATGAGAAAATCCACGCAATATTTATCAGAACTTTTCATATGTACTGTAATACTGAAATATTCCTCATTCAATTATTTCTGAAGGTATTTTGATAAATTTTATATATTGTTCATAAATCTAAAATCACATAATTTTTTATAAATCTAGAATACGAGAAAGAAATTCGTAGAAAGTTTCTGAGAAAACATGAGAAATTTTTTTACCAGGGACTCGAGGCTTCTCTTTTTCGCGCTGATATAATTTATTGTTTGTCACTTTTATCAATTTACTACTATCAATAATTAATACATGGGAGAGAGATAAATGAAAATCACTCAAACGTACGAACACAAAGAGGAATGTTTCGCATCACGCAGCTCTCTCTCTTTTTTCTCTCTTCTCTTATGTAAATGGACGTAAGTGGAAAAGCAACAATATGCGATGCAGGTTGGACGAGCACGCATCACGCCAAGTGACAATCGTGTTCGCTTTGACGAGGGTGCGAAATTGGACGTACCTATCGTGGCGGGCGGGGTGATGGACAGCAGCAGCGGCAATTTCTGCAAATACTGCAGGTCCACAATGATAACTCGATCCTCGGCCGGATTTATCGTGACGTTCGTATTCTCGAACACAGCCTCCACGTATCTCGTCCAATTCCACTGAAACAGCGTCTCGTTTAATTACTCGCATTAAAAGTAAGATTCATATCTCGCTCCCGTTTCTGGCAACCCTCGACTCAAATTAGGGAGATAAATTTGTAAGAAGATTAAATAAAACAATCATGAACAAAACGCGAATAAGCAAATTTATACAAAAATTGTAATTGATGCTTCAAATATTAAGTCGCGATGAAACTTTAATATCTTTAGTATTATCCGGTAATAATTTTGCAATTTTTTAAATATTACTTCATTCATTGGCGGAACTCTTGGAGCAGATCTCATCTTAATTGGAATTTCGATAAAAATTATGTGTTTCCAAATTTTCCACTAAAATGTAAATTACGCGGACGCTATCTCATATTGATTTAACCGGCCGTTCACCTTGAACGGTGCATAAATATTCTTACGCTTACGCAAAGAAAAAAATAGAGATGTCGATGTTACCTGCTGCGCGTGAATATCGGTGAGTTTTTGCAGGTCGTCGATCGTCACCTCGTGAAGGAGATGATCCGAACTGCGCCGTTCCTCGTTTGTCGCCATGATCTGGACGGATTTCAAAAGAATTAAACAAATTCCTGAAAACGATTATCCTCACATTGGAAGTTGAGTAAGACTAAGAGCTGAACCATTCAACCGAGTATCAAAACTTTATTAAAATTAAAAACAAAAGATTAATTACTAAAATTCAA